CTGTGCTCCAAGATACCAGAACTGATCTTTGTGAGAGATGGAGAGGTGATACGCAGTTATGCTGTGAGAACAGGTTTTTATTTCTGCACCAGGAAGAATCGTTTGGGTTTACACTCTGTGGTACAATCAGTGAGGAGAGGTGAACAAAAACTATTTGACAAATGAGCAGACAGTAAAACAGTGTTCTCTGGAGAAGCCTTCTGGTGGCAAATACGTGGGGCAAATGTTACAGCGCAGAACCGATGGGATTTGTCCTCTGTGAAGTCCTCCCTACGTGACCTGCCTGCTCCACTCACTCCTGGTACTTGTGTCACTGCCTACAAGCCTGGGTTACTGCAGCAGGATGTTGACAAAGACCTCATTCCATGCATTGACTTCCATGAAAATTTGTTGCAACCTTCTCTGAGAACTGGACTGATGGGGCAGAGAAATCCTTGGTGCTGCTCCCTGTCTCTCGGGGTGGAATGAGACAGAGGAGGTGGTTCCGGGACTCCAATATCTCACACAACTCAACTACACTTGATTATTATTTGCTTCTCGCAACCTGAAAAGAAACCTACTACCAGATTTGTCTGTCTCAACCCCGCTGGAGCTGAATACTTTCATACATATGTATGGATAGCTTAAGTTTTTATGAGCATAATTTGGGCTTTTCAAAATAGTGACACAATAACAAAGCAAAATTGAGACACGCATGTAATTTGAATACTGATTTGGCTTTATCTCTTCCTGGTGCTGGCACTTTTGATGCTGCTCTTTTCCATTCCATCTCCTTTCTCTTCTGATTTCCCAGTGAATGGAATTAGCTGTGGGTGCATTCACTGCTTCCACCAACCAAGCATGAAACCTGAGGAAATCTGTATCTGTGACCTCCCGAAGAGTTTTGGGCAGTTACTCATTTGCTGTTAACTCTGAGTTTTCTATTGACTTCATAAAGATGTGTTCCCATCCCCTTCTCCAATAGGAAAATGAGCACTGTCAGACAGCTCTCACTGTGCTTCTTGTCATTTTTGGTAACATCAGCCTTGATTTTTGTTTGCAGCCATGCAGCATTGCAAGGAGGTCATTGCAAAGGATGCCTTCTGCCTGCATCTCAGGGCAGATGCCCTCAGTGTTGTAAGCAGACTTGGGGCAATGTTCACCTTAGAGTGAACAGAAAGCACTCCACCAACCATTCACTGGTTCACAACATTCAAGTCCACATCTGCCTCTGATGCTGGGTTTTACTAAAGAGTCCTCTATTATGGGAACTAGGTCTAAGGAAGCTCTGCCATATCTCCTCGCCCTTTGTTGAGGTGTAGGAATAGCAGGCAAAACCCCAGTCCCACCCCGTCTGCATGAAAGCCCAGAGGCACCTCACATGCAGCTGCAGCCAGATTGGAACAGTTTAATGCTGTGGAGAATTTGGTCCTAAAAATTATTCGCAGAAAGTACTCAGTGAATAATTTCAAAGAGAAAATTAAAAAGTGCTCAAGGGCAATCCATGAAGAACAGAAAAAGGGGGTTAAATTCACCTAATAAATTATTTGCAGATTGAATAATTCATGGAAAATACAAGCCACATATAGAACCGTTTGATTCAGAATGTCAACCTGCAAAGTGCAGAATGTCAATCTGCAAAGTGCAGCTACCTCAGAACCTGCCTTTCTCAGCCACCAGGATGGTGTGTTACTGCAGCTGGGTTCCCATCTGGAGTCAGATGAGCAGTTCCAGCTGTGTGTATCCATCAACCAGCAGCACGTGGTGACGTGGAGATCTGCAAGGAAGATCTTGTAAGAAGTTTATTCCACCCCTTTCTACTGTGGAGTTCTTGCACTGGGCAGAAACTGGCACACAGCTTTCGTCACAGCCATGTTCCCAGCATGGCAGATATTTCCCCATGTTTAAACTTTCAGAATTTGAGCAGAGCTTCGCTCACTTGTTTGAAGTTAAGCAGATATGTAGACTGTGTGCAGTGATACACGTGTGTATCATTTGCTGATTGCCTTATCATTTGACAAATGGCTATGTCCTGGACCTGCAGACTTAAAACCACTCTTGTATAAATGTAAATGAACATCTAAAACCTTCTTGAAAGCTGTTAAACACTTGGCTTTGCCTTGTGGCAAAGAGTTGTGCTCAGCACAAGCACGGCGCTTTGAACATTGGATAACATTCTCAAAATGTTTATGAAAGTGGGTGAAAGCATGAGCACACGCAGTGGAAAGCCCAGCATTTTCATACATAAAGTAGGCAACCAAAGAAGCACATGAGAATTTGTAAACAGAGATTTTAAAAGAAATTTAATAATAGACTTCTTAAACTCCCAAATCGCTGTCAGAGCATGTATATGTTCAAAAACCTATAAAAATATTTTAAAACAATGTATTTTCCTTTTGCTTGGCTGCCAAGATCTCCATTAGGAGGTTTGTGTTTCCTTCCAGCATTAAAAGAATATCTCTAACATCTGTAGCAATGAGTGGTGAGGAGTGTCAGGTCTGCTTTGGAAACAAGCAGCGCCATTTGGAAGGGGAAGATGTGAATGATGACTGCGCCTTCTGAGAACAGCCTGCTGTGCAGCAGGAGGTGTGCAGGGCCTCTGGCAGGGCTTCGCTTTCTGAGTTTGTTCTGTACACCTCTGAGGAATGCAGTCGGGTACGCAGGACTTGGTCAGTGGAAAAGCACTGCGCGGAGGTGCAGGAGGAGGAACGCCACGTTTGCTGGGGGCTGGGGAGGGTCGCCTTCTCTGTTGCTCTCTGTGTGACGTTGGCCCCTCTGTACTTCATTTCTACTCCAGTAAATAAAAGCAGTGGCTTTTCCTGATGCCTTAGTAGCTGTCAGTGTACAGGTGGGTATACTGCAATTGGCAAGCGCTCAGGCACCACGATAAGGGAGGTACCTACAGCTGTAACCCAATGAGCAGGATTTTCTCATTGTAAATACCCTTCAAAAGAAAGTCCCCGTGTCTGATTTCTGGCTGAGAAATGTCATCTGATCTGCAGCACTGACAGAGCCAGAGCAATTCACAAACGCTTCCCAGCAAAATGACCTTGCCCTCTCCATTCCAAGAAGGAAACACAAACAATTGCCATCAAGTGTTCAGAACTGAGCAAACAGTGCCCAGCGGTCGACAGAGCTGAGTGCCATTCTCCTTCTTCCTAACACTGCGCCGTCCCTTGTTAGCATGACGGCTCTCACAAATATTCCAGGTTTTCCCAAATTTTAAGTGGAAAATTCCCTTGAATTCTGCAGGAAATAAAGCAGCCCGGGGATCCTGCCCCTTCCTTAAGGAGCCAGGCATGAGTGACACTCAAGCTTGAAGATGACCAAAAGGGGGGAAAAAATGACAAAGTTTCCAAACCCTTTGGGTGCACCTGAACCTCACCACTCACTGCCCTGCTGTGCATCCCAAGAAATTCCTGTTGGTGCCAGCAGCTGGGACAGCAGTTGGCAGACAGCAGCAGAGGCGTGCACACTGATCGCCAGCAGAGACACGGCTCCTCGAGGGGCTGTGCCTGCAGGGCTTGGGAGTGGGCTCCTGATGTTTGCGGGGCAGACAGAGGCTGAAATCCACAGTGGCTGAAAGGAAAGGTAATGCACTGCTCCTCCGCCTGAACTGCAACGGGAAGGGGGAAATGTCGGTGTTAATCTTGCTACTCGAGCCTGAATCTGTGTTATATTTTGCTTAGCTTCTTATTATTTTATTTTATCTATAATAAACATATGGTTTTATACTTGTTATCTGCATATAGACTGACTCCAAAATGTTAATTCATCCTTAATTATTTTTTTTTTGTGTTAAAGATACACCCTCAGTGTTATTTTAACGTAGGGCTTTTTTGTAATGTAATGATATTTAATTTGCATTAGCACAAGTGACATACAATAGATCATGCTATTATCATGATTGATATCAGATGAACGGGCATAAATTCAACATTATAAATTGAGCCTATAAATGAAACTATTATTTTACAGGAATTACTGTAGTAGAAAGGCTAAGGACCCTCAAGTCAACCTTAGTCAAACCCACTCTTTAGACTTTTATATTTTATGCCTGCAATAAATGCTTTTGTGAAAGCCCATAACCGGCAAAAAAAAGTCATTGCAAGTCTATTAATTATAATAATACTATCCAAAAAGCTGCGAGGGCTTATTTTTGTGACATCACTCTTTGATTTCTTACTGCCTTAAATTATCCCTTTGTTGGCTGGGTGAGGGTAACAGTCATACTTTTGTCATTAAATATAAGGAGTTTTAAAGCCTGATCCACCTTAGCTCTAATTGATATTGCTTTCATTTGGCAGATAGTGACCTGATTTATAATTTAAATATGCATCATTATATGCACCTCTTCTGTATAATGAAAAAGCGAAGTTACTCTCATCTTTTCCTGCAATGTTAACATCAAGGAAAAGTATCTTTCTTTTTTCCCTTTTATACTCAGAGCCTAATTGAAAACTGTTCATTGAATTTCAACATGATAGAAAAGTCTTTTTATCTCTCAATTTGTCCATTAGCTATTATAATTGAAGTATCTGCTACACGGCTGAATTGATATTGTTCTTGTTTAAATTCTGGGTTTCTCTAAATCTCCTATGAGGCATCAACTAAAAAAATATGGGTTAGGAGACATCAGCTAACAGTGCTGCTGAGACGGGACGTTGGACGAGCACTGCACATGTGTAAAGCTACAGAAAGTAGGAAGTCATCTCATTTTACTGGGGAACGTGTTGCATAATAATCTTAACAGCAGGACCATAAGGTTTGCTAATTGCCACATCTGTTTAACAGCTGTCAGATGTTTGCCATATGCTGCCATCAATATTACAGCAGAGTACATTACGGGGAGTTTTATTGTGTTCGACTGTTATTTATTTGCCACAGACATTACTGCAGCCAGTGACGTCTATTTATGTTAGATCACTAATTATATTTTAAAAGCTGCATGTAAAATCCCTGTTTTTCAGCTTCCTTAGGCCCTATTTCTGATGACGTAACTAATAACTTTTTCCTTACAGATCTCTGGACTCATTTATAAATTTCTCTCTTCGTCTGGTAAATAATTCTTCAGTAGAATAACTTATTTATGCTGTTTTTGAAGGGTATTTCTATACCCAAGTTACGTTTTAATTGTGTTGTTTGCAAGAACTCAGAAATAATTTTCTTTTTCAAAGAGCCCTCGTCATCCCCTGCTTTTTTTTAACCGGTACACAGGTGGCTGAAAGACAATTCAGTGCTTACAGCTGAGGATGCTGGATACCTTCATCCCAGGCCCCAACCTGCCCTGTACCCTGTACCACATGACCTTGATTCATTATAGGACCTCAGTTCTCATGCCCATCTGTAAGCTAACAGCTACTGTACAGCTGTAACTGCAGAGCTGTAACTGCAGAGCTCACTCATTGAGTGTCTGTAGGAAGAGGAGGTGATGCAGCAGCAGCAGCATTAAGGCACAGAAATAGGGCTCACCTTTGCTGGTCTTCTCGACATTCTTTCATGCTTTCTTTGAATGACCTTTCAATTGGTCTCTGCATTACTTTCCTGTTACACGGAGCTGCTGCAGCAGTGAAATAGGAAGCAGAGATTGACAAAGTGCAGAGTAGGCAAAATATGCGTGAAGTGATTTAATATGAGTTGATAGGTGTCACTGATCTCTATTATAAATAGACTGTGTGAATTCCATATGATGTATTATTTATCTATTGTAGATGCCTTTTTGTTTCATTAATAAAGCTGGAAATCAGACATATACGTTTCCAATGATGAGGTTTTGGCAATACAAGGCATCGTGGTATTTGTCTGCAATTGCTCAATTATTTTGATGATTTTCTTCTTCTTTCTCTATAAATAATTAATGTTTGAGACGTTTGCTCAAGATTCTTACGATTTTAGCTCATTTGTCCAGCTGAAGTCTTTTTTCCCTCTCTGATGAAAGGAGATTCATGCAGTGTAAGGACTTACACTTTGACCTGACCTTTGCAACGCTGTGCTGTAGCACACAGCTTGGGTGCTCTGACTGAGGTTTGTGAGGCTTGTGAGGTCTGGTAACTCCAGCAAAACTCACATCAGCAACATGTGTTCAGTTTAAATCTGCTTCAAAGCAGAAACTCATTTGCTCTTATTCTACCTGCAGTTAAAAATGTTCCCCAGGTGCTTGAGAAAGTTAAAAGCATAGGAAAGACTTCGCGTTTCAAAATCCTGAAGCGAGCAGCAAGAAGCAGCCAGCAGTGCCTCCTGCCTCTCTTCCTGAAGATGCTCAAGCCAAGATATCCTTGAGGACGTTAATGTTTAAAACAAAAGACAGAACCAGGGCTGGTGCCAGGCGCAGGTCAGCGAGCCCCAGGCCCTGCAGGGGCGGATGGCAGCGGCGCTGGCAGCACTGCCTGCAGCAGGAGGTGCTGTGCTGTGCTCCCACGAGATCTGCCTTCCCAGAACGCCTCCATCGGTACTGAAATTTGTCTGCCTTCTGCATTTGATCTCCTTATTTTCTTCTCATATGCCTTTTTAATGCTGTTTGTAGCCATTTCAATTATGTGATTTCCTTATCTGTATACCATTGAGAATACTGTACAAGACTTTATAAACAGCTACTAAGTCTATCTGCCTGTCATTTGGTTTTCATTACGTGAGATAACAATCCTTCTCATATCTTATAAGAAGATATAATGTGATTGTTTCCAAACGGAGAGGGGAAAAAAGTCTAGTCTGCATTATACTTAGCCTGGTAGCATTTGTAATGTTGGTGGTGTCAGCACAATCTCCAACATTTTTTCCTTGCTGTGGTCCAGGAAGAATTATCTCTCTAGTTTTTTGTGTTTGCTGCTATCTGTTCTTTTTCTCCATTTTAGACACGGTGAATTTCTTATCTGGAGCGTGGTTACGTGGCCGTGGATTTGCCTATATTCAGTGTGATCATTCCTAACTGTTTCGTGGGGCTGATACACTGAAGGGAAGGATGAGAGGCAATTGTCAACAGCTCACTGTATTAAATATGGATAGATATTATTCATGTAATTTGACAGTTCTTGACTTTCAGCTGTATAATGACAGTGAAACGGTAGGAATTTCAGCAGCCGAACTTCTGTCTTACTTCAAGATAAGCTTATCAACTGTAGCCTGAATCCATTCAACTCATAAGCAGATCAAAACTCGTGTCATGCTGAACTGTGGCACTGATTCCCGCTTCCTGCTGTTGCTTTACTTGTCCATATGGTCTCCGTTGTTTGCCATCTTGCAGTTACTTTGAGAGGTTTTTGGGGGGCTGACTGTCTCATGTTCAGCACTTCATACAGTGAAGCCGTGGATCTTGCTCGATGCCACCAGTTGCTCATGTAACATAAATACTATGTAATGAAGTGATAATAGATGATGGTCAGCCCTTGGGCTTTCTTCTCTCTTCATCAGTTACACACTTGAATTACAAAGAGTTGCTTTGTTTGGTTTCCCATTTAACATGAAGCACCCTGGAGTTTATCTTGTGCTATTTGTCCCAGAACTTCAGTGGGATCCCCGCAAATACGCAGGAATTGTGCATTTCTTTCACCATTTGTGCACTCCCACCGCTGCAGCATGGCGTGGCAGCTGCAGACTAAACAGCATCGTTAGGTTAAGGATTGATCAAGTGGCTGTGGAATTTCCATGCTCTGTTTCGTGCCTTCCAGATTACAGCACTGTTTCCAAACTGGTGGGATTCAGCGGGGGGGAGGGCGGGAAGAATGGTGCATTGTACAACTTTTGGCAGCCAAATGTTCAACTTCAAAATCAAAAAACAAAAAATAATAATACTTTAAAAAAACCCTAGAATTGTAAAAGCAAATGTGAAATCTCTCTCCTGTCATCTCCACCTTCATTTTCTTCTCTGCCTGCTCACTGCAGTTTTATCTCATGGCTGTGAACTCCTCCAGGCTAGGCCTGTCTTTCTGTTTCTGTCTGCGAAATGAAGAGCACAAGAGGATATAAGGATGTACAGATGTGGTTGCTGGCTCGGGCCGTGGGCTGGTGTCCTATCTGCCATCAGCCTTCATCCGCCTGCTGGTTTTTCCATCGTCCAACCTCCTGCTGGAAACACGGCATGCTGATGGGAGCCCATTGCTACAGACTTCACCAGAATATTTTCCAAACAATTATGTTTATTAATTCATCATTGATGTGTTTTTCTTCTCCGAATTTTTCTGCTCTCTACTCGAGTACACTTCTGAGCAGCAGTAAACAAAAAGTGATCGCTATCAGAATAAGTGATGATATGGAAGTTTTGCAATTTCTTAACAGTAAGAGATCCTCAGCTATTTGACTTCTTCTGTAATTTGTGAGAAGAAATATGACTTCAGGTTTCACTATTAAATGCATGCCTCAGTGGCTCAGTTTATGCATTCATAATTATATTTACAATTAGAAATAATGTAATCAGGAATAGATTTTTTTTTTACTGGCTGACTGCACAAAATGAGTTGAGGAGAAAATGTAGTTTTAAGCCACGCTTTCTTCCCCACAGTTTAGGATCATTTAAGCTTCATCTCAGTCATACGTAAGGAAATTATAGGCTAATGAAGTCCTTATACTGCTGTATTAGATCTGAAGATTGCCAGGTCTATCACTGGGTTCCCTTCTGCACAGCAAATCCCCAAATACTGAGGATGCAATGGCAGAAGGACACAAAAGCACTTTCTGCAGTCACAGAGTGCAGTGTTCTCCTGTAAATATTTTAATTCCTTCATAATGGAAAAGAGCAGCTTTAAATGGAGAAGCAGATAAGGAGAGAGTGTGAGGCATTCTCACAGTGGAGGATTCAGGTGCCCTGCTAGGCAGGGTTAATGGGTGCTGTACTGCAGTCACTCTGCTCCTGGGAATCCCTGAAATGTCAAAGTGGTGCAAAACAAAATTGTGAACCGAGTCCTGCTTGTTTTAAATGGAGGCAGCAGGGCAGCACTGAGCTCAAATGCAGACTATTTAGACACGGGATGACATTTATGATTACTTTCCTCTCTTGAAAATTAATCAGAAAGTTATTTCTGTGAAAATTTGATTCTTAACTGAAAAATTCTAATCTGTTCACTTGTTTTATTTTTTCTTTGATCATCATTTCCCATCACTGGAAAACAATGGAGAACGCCCTTGTTTGCTGATAGTTTCTAAAGCATTTTCCTTCAGTCTTTGGCCAAAATATGCAATGAAACGTATGTTCACATGTTTTGCACAGTGATTTTTGTCAGAAAAGCCATTTCCCGTCAAAAAGATTATTTCAAGGGATGTTTTCACTTGCCAGATTCAGAAGCACATTAATGCTGGCTGCAATCAGAAGGGCACGCTCATACAGTGGGCTTCCACACTTCTCATGATACTTTTCAACAGGACTGTCACTGGCAGCACAAGGTGCAGCAATGTCAGTTTTAATTAAAACCTTTCCTTTTACCTGCTGCACAGAACAGCTGCAGCATAAACTGGGAAGCAAAGGCACCACAACATGTACGAGCCAGGTTTTGTTGAACACAAACAGGAGGCATCACTAATGGGAGCTCTGCACGGAGCCCATTAGCCCAACAGATTCCGCTTCTCCCTAAGATGCTCCACGCAAACTTTTGCTGGTTTCCAAAAATTGGTCGCCAAAAAAACATGCAGTGGAGTCGAGAGCACAACTTGGGTAAAAGTGAGCGCTGGGTGGAGAGGCCAACACGAGTACCTGTGCTTTACACTGAGCCCTGCACTGATGGCCAATTTGAGCGTGTAGAGAAGGGTCGGGTGAGCAGCAGTGAGCAGTGCAGGAGACGTTGCCTCCTTCCCCTCAGTGCAGTGGGGTTGGAAGTCTGGGGTAAGGCCCCATCTCCATAAGGACCCACTATTAAATGATTGCGAGAGGAAATCAGCAGCTGCTGCGTCTGATAGTCCTCATCTTCTCAGGGTGAGCTCTGGGCGTGAGCAAAACTGAAAGGACGCCATGTGCCAAGGAGCCTGGCCTCCCTGCAGCCTCTGTGGTCCTTCACAGTGATGTCTGGGTGTTTCTGAACCTCTTCCCTCCAAAAGAACCAAGGCTGTCTGCGCAAACATGAAGTGAAACACAGTAGGGAGCACAGACAATGTCTGCCCTGTTGTGAGCTGGTGCCGGTGGAAATACCCTGGGGAGCGGTGTCAAGGACCTGAAAGTGACAGCATCTTCAGGCAGCTGGATCTGAAGGAGGAGGACGTTTCCCTACAGCCTCAACCTGCTGCAGTCTCCTCTTCCTTGGTTTCCCACTATGAGCCAAAGGAAGGCAAGCAATGTCATCTCTGAGGAGGGGGAGATCATTCATTCAGTATGAGAATCAAACTGTTATAAAGTGGAAAATTGCTAAGCCTGATTTGCAGTGTATTTCTCTTTCTTCGCTTGTTTCTTCAGAGGTTTTGTTGGTTTGTTGTTTTGTGAGCTCTGCCAGGAGTCGAGATGTACATCTCATTTCCATGAGAATTTTCTCAATAGCCCAGGAAGAGCAACTACAGTACCTAAGTTACATTTAAGTAACTTAAGTAAGTAAGGTGTGGGTAGCAACTAGTTAAGAGACACAAAGGACCTTTGAAATTTAAACTTGCTAGGTGTTCTGCCTAAAAAAGCTAGATCTGATGCTGGCGTTGAAGTTTTCAGAGCTAGACTATGCTGTTTAAAATGGAATTTCACATAAAATAAGGTGTGAAGAGACGTTGAAGTATACTCGATTGTATCAGTCATTCTGTATGAACAGGGAAAAATTACAAATGCAACCAGACAGCACCCTCTTCTGGACAACACCATCCATGCAAAACTCATCAATACAGGTACTGCAGAAAGTAGAGTGATGCTGGTCCTAAAGGAGAAAGGGAGAGAAGGCAAGATTCAGTAGTTAATGTTTTACATTCTGTTTTCCAAGGAAAACACAGGGAAATATTACTATGCTTTTATTTTTCTGAGTGTTTTGTATTAAAACATGAAAACTGGGCAGACGCAGTATCTACTTATTTCAAAAGCAGATCCCAGTTATGAAAGTTATGATCCTTTTCATCACAGCTTTACCATTACTGCAAGACCCTTTGGAGAGGTCACACACCAGATCCGGGTTAATAAGTGTATGTATCCCTTAGACATCTCATTTTTCTCCATTTCTGAGCGTATTATTTTCTGTTCAGGATGTATGTTCATGAACTAGTTTGTGGAGCTGCATTTTATTCCGTCACTCTCTGTGAGCAGCTTGGCTTATGCAGCTGATACTCAGCCTTCAGGAAGATGCTATGATATTTCTCCTTCTTGACTGAACGACTTTAATTCTGATGTTCAGGTTTCCAGTGCAAATTTAAAGCTTGCCATCAATGAATACACTGCCACATCTGAAATGCATGAAGCCTGCTCATAGATGAGTGACTTTGTTACAGGATTCCTGGAAAGCAAACACATTATGACCATGGGGAATATTACCGTGATGGAAAGTGATTTAATTGTAAAATGAAAATGAGCAGTAGTTGAAGTTCAGAAAATATTTCCCTAGCTGTGATTTTTGTATGCAGATATTACTCTAAAGGAACTTCGGGTATCACCCCTTATTTTTTACCCCTTCTCATGATCTCTTCAGCATCTGACCAAACAAAGCACATCTTTGGGCACGATGAACGCCATGCCAAAGCCTTCTTGCGGAAGGATTAAAACTTGTTACAGTTATGTCATCATTTTTGTGCAGTGGATGATAGGCAGTTCAGGAATAATGGCATTAAGATGTGGTGCAAAATTGAAGGGACTTCTTCAGATTTTATAATCGGATTCTAACAGTGTAAATACTTTGGTAATTATAGATCCATATCTAGAATTTCCTAGCTGCAGTGTCCTCCAGTGCCTGCTATAATAGCAGCAGGGATACACGGCCAAAATGCAGAGATCTTCACAAACTGTTTCTGGCAGAGATGAGGTCATAATTCTTCTCATTGTGACGGCCAAATCAATTAGAATTTCCACTGGAAGTGTATCATACACTTTATCTTTCTAACAAAGCAGAACGTAACTGCAGTGGTGTGGGAAGAAACTCAGCTCTTGCTCACTTGAATAATTCTGCTAAGCTCACACCGGAAGAACGTGGAGTTGTCAGGAGCTGTACTCCTGAAACTGAAATGCCCAGGCCAGGGTATTTAGTGCATGATTACACGGTACAAAAGGAATTCTCTTCTTGTTTTTATCTAATATCAGCTAACCTAGCTGAAGAAGTCTGTTAATGTAAAAGTTGGAAAGGTTTATCCTGAACAGTGAGGATATGAGCAGAACTTTCCCCCGCCGCCATCTGGCAGTAAAACATTCCTCTTTGTGGCCCTTCTCACAAACTGCAGTTGAATGCGGGGGAAAGCTGATAAAGGTGGTTTTGATGCAGACTGATAGGCATTGCTTGCACTGAAATTCAGCAGTCTTTTTGTATGCACAGACTTCAGGCGTGACAGCAAGATTTATAGAGAGGAACTGAAAGAAGAAGATGATTTTTTGTAAGATTTGGAGTGTGTGAATTAATAAATTCTAGTTGTCCAGGCTCTTAGGAATCCCATTCTGTCTAAATTTCAGTTTTGTTTTCTGCTTTCCCTTCCCAGTAGAGTTGAACCTGGGAATAGCATCGCTCAATGGCTCGTTAGTTTGATAAAGTGGTAAAAGTGATGATAGCTGCAATGGGTACTTCTGGCTCAGAAGCATTTATAGATCTCGAGGGAATTCTGAAAAACACCAGAAAGTCTTTAGGTACTGAATCACAGGCAAGTATTTTGAATCTTTAATTTTTTTTATATATGCTTTTCTATGAGAATGTCAGGACTAAAATATGGAATATGCTTTTCCCACTTGGTTTCTATTACTTGTAGAGCACTCAAAAGCTTCTAGAATAAAATTACCTCTATGCCCTGCTAGGGAGCAGGCAAAACTCCACTGAGTATCAAGGGAGTCCCTCTGCTGGTGTTTCTTTCCATTTTTAACACAAATATAATAATAAAAATGACTGAATTTTAGACCAGAGCTGTACAGTCTTAGCTCCTGCATCTATTAGTTATCATGTTTATCCCAGTGGAGTTTTACTGTACTTTTATGTTTGTACAAAATGTGCTGAAATACACTGCACAAATTTTCAGATGTGACGTATGCATCATCACCAGAACTTCAGTTTCCTTTAAAGTTCTCTTCAGAACAACCAGTCTGCATTCAGAAAAAGAACTGAAACAGAAACGTAAGGAGATGAGATGTGCAGGAAGAAAAAGTACTGCCAAGAAGCAACCTGCAAATAAAAACTGCATTGCAGATAATAGATAATACTATTTTTCTTTTAGAATGGAGACACTCCAGCAGAAATCCCAAGTCTACGCAACTTCAAAAAATTTACAAAACGGGGGAGGTGGGGGCACAAAACATTTTCTTATGGACAATGAGAGCCTGAGCCCATCCAGGGCACAGGAGGCTCCGCAGAAACAGGGCTGGGCAGTTTGGGCATTGCCTACTGGTGCAACTGCCCTGCATCCAGCCTGGCGCCCCCAGAACAAGGGGACTGCGTGGGCCACGGCTGCCGGGCGGTGGAATCACAGCCTGCGTGCTGCAGAGCGACTGCAGATGATCAGAAACTCCCCGAGTTTAACCCTGAAACAAAAGAAACTCTTCTAAACATGACTGGATTTCCCATGGTGTGAAAGATGCTGCAGCATCGCTGCGTACTTAACCCATAGAACGCTGAAAACTTCCCATCTGTGGGTTTAGGTCTGCTTTCTGACAATTAATAATTAGACATCTCAACATCAAAATGCATTTCTGTTTTCTTACAATATTTATTTGAGGCTTAATCACAGTTGTCAATGTGCTATTTCGGTGAATAATATTTTAATACTGAGTTACTTTACAGCTCATGCAGCAGTAAGACATAGCTGAAGGTCCTAGATGATTATTTAGACTTTATTTATTGCAGAGGAAAACAATGACATTGAAAATGTTGTATAAACACCGAATGCATTAAGCAGCAAAATACCTGCTGTGCACCACGAATTGAAATGACGTTATTTTGAAACATGAGAAAAAATAATATAATTATATGTTATCAAGACAGAGACAGATTACCTATTACTTTAACATAATTAATTTGTGCTCGGTGGATTTCTGTAGCTGTGTTTGTCATTATCCATCAATATAATTACGAAATGCTAAGAATTGGTTTTTAATCTTTAAGCTACTTCAACTGGCTGCTTTTTTCTCTGAATCCACCCTTCATTTGTCTCCATCTTCAATATCTGAAATATTTAATTACAATTCACATTTCTTTTTTCATCGGTTCCCCAGCCCACATTCCAGTCTCACTCATGATGTTTTCACATCAGGGCATTTCACAGAGATAAGCTTTCCCTTTTCAGTGGCCACAAGCTTAGAAACAAGTTCAATTTCTTTTCTTGCAATAGTGGTGGGGGGTTTTCACATCTTTTTGGTATGTTCTCCTATATTTATGTTTTTATGCCTCTGTATTCTGTTGCACATTTTTTCGATCTTTTAAAACTGTCCTCATCCATGCAGTGTGAAAGGCAAATGGAACAGCAAATGGCGCAATATTTTACAGAGATTTCTCTATTCGTCTCCTGCCTGGCTCAGCTAATAGCTCTCTTCCCATTACTAGAATAAGTTTGAGGTTTCCTTTCTCTGAGCTTGCAAGGCAGGTTACATTGCCCTGTGTGATCTCAGGTGAGCAGGCTGGCTGGAAGCTGGGTGGGAAGGCAGAAGTGTGCCTGTGCCCACTTGTTGTTGGACATCAGCGTCTGTCTCCAGCAAAGCACCGAGGCCGTGCTGTGCAGCGCAGTGCCCAGAGATGCCTGTCTCCAGGGCCTGATGAGGCCTGACTTTTTTATGCCTCTATCTGACTTCTTTCTCTGATGATTGACATTTGTCTTTTCCGGGCCTTGTTTGCTTGAGCTGCACTTGTAGG